TCTTCCTTGTCTGCCACCATGTGAGATGAGCCTTTCACCTTCCACCAAGATTGTGAGGCCTCCCCAGCCACATGGAACTGTGAGTCCATTAAACCTCTTTCTTTTGTGAATTGCCCAGTCTCAGGTACGTCTTTATCAGCTGCATGAAAACGAACTAACATACATGTTGATCTAAAGTTGAAGGCTTGCTTCAGACAACTTCTGTTTTTCTCACACATTTACACTAAGGGCTGGAAAAACAGATGTGAAATAGTCATGAACAAATAAACTAGTTGGTGTGTGTGTGTATACATATGTGTATGTCTACATATAGAGAGATAGCTACACCCATATGTATATCTCTGAAAATGTAAGACAAGATATAATGTGTACTTACTATTCTCTTTTGCCATTTTCTAGTTTGGGGGAAAGTTCTATTAAATCTAAGTTGATGAACATTATTCCCCCTGCTAATACCACAAGTCCTGACTTGTAAGGAGGACAAAGCTGAGGTCAGTGCATAAGTATGAGCTGCGGATCTTGTGAAAACACAGATTCTGATTGAGTAGGCATGGAGTGCAACCTGAGTTTCTGCTTCAGGTGATGCTGATTCTGCTAGTCTGTGGCCCACACTTTGAATAGCAAGGGACTGGATGGTTTCTGGTAATCCTTTCTAATTCTGTTGCAGTTGTTTTGCTTGAAAAACTTTCTACCTTTTGGAAGTATTCACTTATAAATCACTTATAGTTTAATCTGTATAGTTTCAGGTGATAACAAAATAGAACATTTCAAGGCAATGAATTAAAAAGGTAAGTAACAATATTAAATATAACCCAGGATTTTCTCTAAGGCAATAAACATTTTCAAATAAGTGACAAGTGTGAGGCTTGAATTTTTAAGGATGCACTTAAAATCCAGTGGACAAGCCATTGTTGAGTGAAGATTCAGGCCTCGTCTCTCTTATTGGAAGGTGAATGTGAGCTAGATCAGTAGATATCAAAGTTTTTGTTTGTGACCCACAGTGAGAAACATATTTTAGGTTATGATCTTGCACATAAATAACAGTCTCACAAATAAAACAATATTAATATGTACTCTGATAACATTCATTCTATAGCAATCCTTTTTTTTTTTTTTTGAGACGGAATTTCACTTTTATTGCCCAGGCTGGAGTGCAATGGTGCGATCTCGGCTCACTGCAACCTCTGCCTCCCAGGTTCAAGCAATTCTCCTGCCTCATTTCTCTAAGTAGCTGGGATTACAGGCATGCGCCACTACGCCTGGCTTACTTTGTATTTTTAGTAGAGATGGGGTTTCTCCATGTTGGTCAGGCTGGTCTCGAACTTCTGATCTCAGATGATTTGCCCGCCTCGGCCTCCCTCTCAAAGTGCTGGGATTACAGGTGTGAGCTACCGCACCTAGTCTGCAATCTATTTTTTAAAATGCTTTTCACAAGCACATAGTGGCCTGCAACTCGCAAAATTGGAACTGGATGACATTTTCAGCCTCCATCTTTAAAAAAAAAAAAATCACTATTCATTGGCAAAATGTGATAAAATTGTATTGCATTTAGGTTCCTAAAGCATTCATTTGTCTTTTTTTTTTTTTTTTTTCGGAGATGGAGTCTTGCTCTGTTGCCCAGGCTGGGGTGCATTGGCACGATCTCGGCTCACTGTAAGCTCCGCCTCCTGGGTTCAAGCAATTCTCCTGCCTCAGCCTCCCAAGTAGCTGGGACCACAGGTGCATGATGCCATGCCAGGCTAATTTTTTGTATTTTAGTAGAGATGGGGTTTCACCGTGTTGCCCAGGTTGGTCTCAAACTCCTGAGCTCAGGGAAACCACCCACCTCAGCCTCTCAAAATGCTAGGATTACAGGCGTTTCTATTGTGTGAAATGGAATATTGGAAAGTGGGATTCCGGGGTAGGCTGGATGGCAGAGAAGACCTGCTTGCTATGTCTTCCAGGAGCACTTTTTATTATAGCTACCACTTATATTCCCCCCAATCTACAATATAACTACATGTTTGACTTCTGGAATTTTATAAAGGCAAGCTGGAGTATTTTTCCCTCAAAACTACTTAACCCTCACTTAAGCAGGCAGTAGAGCAGCGTGGTTAAGAGCATGAACTGATGGCAGGCTGTCTGGTCAGCATCTTGGCCATCCCACGTACTAGCTGTATAATTTTAGTCTACTTACTTAACCTTACGTGCCTCACTTTCCTCATCTGTGAAATGGGAACAGTAATACTAGTTGAGTATCCCTTTTCCAAAATGCTTGGGACCGGAAGTATTTAGAATTTCAGATGTTTTTTTTTATTTTGGAATATTTGCATAAACATAATGAGATATCTTGGGGATGGGACCCAGGTCTAAACATAAAATTATGTTTCATATATACCTCGTACACATAGCTTGAAGGTCATTTTATACAACATTTTAAATAATTTCGTACATTAAACAAAGTTTGTGTACACAAGGTCAAGGGTGAAATTTTCTACTTGTGGTGTTGTATCAGTGCTCAAAACTTTTGGGTTTTTGAATTAGGGATGGTCAGCCTATAGTTCCTACCTAATAGAATTGAGATGAAGATTGAATGAGTTAACATCGTAGACAAGCACAACAGAAATGTTATTAGCTACTGTTAGCTAGGCTTAAATTACAATGTAAAGTTTGAGCCTAACTCCAATTTCATGACAAAGTAGAAGAGTAGCAATATAATACGTATTACTTATTAATATAATAATAAGTACTTCTAAACCAGTGTCTTGATACTGAGCTATAGTAAATATTAAGTCCAATAAAAGTGCTTTTGGTAATCCCAAATGCAATTTCCCCTCAGTCCTGATTCAAACAGGCCTGCAATAACTTAGTTATCCAACTGATTAGCATTCTAAAACCATACTGAGGGAAAAAAATTCTACCAGAAATTTACATCTTGTACTAGAAAATGAAGATCCAGTAATGTCACATTTCTGTGGGAATGTAACAGTCAGAGCTTTTGTGGTTTAAATGGAAGGATGCAGGCTCCATTCTGTGTAACACCAAGGAAAGTATGACATGTTTGACAAAATTTGTATATTTTTGCATAATGGTCTTCCTTTCTTTGTTGTTACTCATTTTTGGGGTGGAGGGAGGTCAGTGGAAAGTGCTTATGGAAGTTTAGAAAAAGATAGATTCAGCTGCTAAAGGAAGGAAATACAGTATCCATTTTTTCAAATGTTCTACCTATTAAATTGTGAAAATAATAGTATAGATACCCTTTCAAAGTTCTAAATTGGTTAACTTTCCCCCAAAACACTAACAAGTGAACCTAAACAGCTACAATCCAAACTTTTATAAATATGGTCTAGAACTAAATATTCTACCTGTCATGGGAGTGATTACACCACAGAAGGAAGTGACAATCAGTCATACTTGCCTTCTTGCTTATGACATGTTGTTGCTGTCTGTATAGGTAAAAATCTATTACTATAGCTAGTCATCTAAATTGCCATAGGGAACTGGTGTGTGTTCAGTGCCTAACTGCAGCTTAACCACTTCTAAAACTTGAACCGTAAAGGCTTCATATGCATGTGGATTTTCATAACGTCAGAATGGGAGTAAGGCACAGAGTATTTAAAATAAAGGTATTTTTCCAAATAAGGTCTAAAAGGAAAACATGAACTCCCTCCTCTCCCTGGTTCCCTACTCCTGTTAGTCATAAAGCTTGCCCAAACGCATCCTCTCTTTCCCACCCCTCCGCCCTCCCTGTGTCCTTGCCCAGGACTTCGTTAGCCCACATTTGCATCTCTACAGCCTCCTGCAGGCTGCCTTGAGATCTGAGGCCTTTCCAGCATATCCTTAATACTACTGCTAGACCTAATCTGTTAAAAACATTACTTTGGGCTTGTCATCTTCTCTCTTTATACTCTCATCACTTCCTTGCTTTAACTTTCCCAAGCTTGCAGATGGCCACTTGAGTCCTGGCAGCTCTCCTGATTGCCCCTCATGCATACATACACTGGAACCTTCCCACTGAACTCCTGTATCCAGATGTTCCACCATCATGCTCCAAATCCTGCATGGCAAATGCCATCTTGCTCCTCTCCCCAAGTCAAAGATTTCAGGGCACTGACTTTCATTCAGTCACTCGAGGTAGCAATCTAGAAGTTATCTTTGGCTCTTCCCATGTCCTCAGCAGCACAGACAGTTCATAAGTTCTGGCCCCACTGGGTTGTGCCCATCTGCCTTCCTTACATTCACTTCTTGTGGCTTTTTGCCCTCATGAGTAGACTTTGCAATTTAATGCTGTATTTTAAGGACATAGAAAATATGAGAAAGTATATGTATTTATGTTAAAAGGTAAGAAATTAAGCTTTCTTAATATTTGCTATAAGGATAGACACTGGGTCCTCAATTTGTCTCTTACGTTCGATGATCACGTGTCAAATAGAATACTAGGAAGGATCCTGAGGGCATGGTAGGAGTTCCACTGTCAGTGTATCACTCTGTATTGCTGTTTCCTTGCTATGAGTTGTTTTCAATGGGCCTGATTTTGTAAAAGCAAGATTTTAAAATAACAGGCCATGGCCTGGCGCAGTGGCTCACAGCTATAATCCCAGCACTTTGGAAGACTGAGATGGGCGGATCACGAGGTCAGGAGATCGAGACCATCCTGGCTAACATGGTGAAACCCCGTCTCTACTAAAACTAACTAAATAAATAAATAGCCGGGCATGGTGGCGGGTGCCTGTAGTCCCAGCTACTCCAGAGGCTGAGGCAGGAGAATGGCATGAACCCAGGAGGCGCAGCTTGCAGTGAGTTGAGATTCCGCCACTGCACTCCAGCCTGGGCAACAGTGGCAGACTCCATCTCAAAAAATAATAATAATAAAATAATAATAATAAATACATAAATACAATAAATTAACAGGCCATCACTAAAATGGCCAGGCAAACCTTTTCTTACCACCAGGAGTTTTCTGACTTTTTTCTTGGCAAAGTACTTAAAGATAAGTTACACATATTTTTTATTTCTTTTAGATGAAAGTGTCATAAGTTAGATTCCTGGGAAGAAAATTCTGAGACACATTCTGCTGGATGATTATTAGGGCTCATCCTTGGTTTCAACACCCATAGAAGGAAGGGGGAAGAAGAAATCGAACAGAGGAGAGACAGAAGTCGAGATGCATTTCAGGCCAGGACTCTTGACTGAACCCACAGGAGCTTTGGAGCTAGAATGGCCCGTCAGAGTTGTTCTGAGTTGGGCTGAGATGGCCAGTTCTTTATATTCCTGCATGGGATAGTCACTGGATGTCCACCCCAGGAAGCAGTGTGGCCAAGACAGTCCCTGAAATGCCTGCCAGCACTCCCTATACCTGGAGCAACGAGACCAACATCACAGGGGGATATACTGGGTGAGGATCACAGCATTCATCCCAGAAGATGAGGATACAGAATTGGCTGACTGCTACATTCTAAATGTCAATGTTCCCCAAAATTCGTATGTTGAAACTTAATTCCCCAATGTGATGGCATTAGGAAAGGGGGCCTTTGGGAAGGGCTATAGGTCATGAGTGGGATTAGTGTCCAGAGAGCTGCCTTGCCCTTCCACCATGTGAGGACATAGTGAGAAGGTGCCATCTATGAACGAGGAAGTGGGCGCTTACTACCAGACACCCACTCTTCTGGCAACTTAATCTTGAATTTCCCAGCATCCAGAACTCTGAGAAATCAATTTCGGTTGATTATAAGCTACCCAGTCCATAGCATTTTATTAAAGCAGCTGAAACTAAACTAAGACAGTGACGTTTTCTGCAACAAAAAGATAGAGTGAGTCTCTATAGCATACCATGTAAGAGATGTTTTTGGAAAAATAACCTCATTTCATATGTTTCCTCAAGCTAAAAAGAATATCGTAACAACAAATGAGAAAATAGTTGGTTTAGAAATATTGCACCCTATGGAGAGAGTATTTTGGATTTCTTTTTTTTGTTTTGTTTTTAACTTTTGTTTTAGGTTTGGGGGCACATATGCAGGCTGGTTATATAGGTAAACTCATGTCACAGGGATTTGTTGTACAGATAATTTCATCACCCAGGTACTAAGCCTAGTACCCAATAGTTGCTCTTTTTCCTCCTCTCCCTCCTCCCACCCTCCACCCTCAAATAGGCCCCAGTTTGTGGTGTTCCCTTCATTATATTCATGAAGTTGAGAGAGTGTTTTGAAAAAGAATGTTGGAAAGCATTTCCACTGTTAGATTATTTTAAGTCAAAAAGTTATATAACAGTGTCACCTATCTAGATGCACACAAGCATGGACACAGAATAGTTTCATATGTTTAAAACTTTTCTAGATCCTTTTGTGGTTCATAAGCTTGATGATTGAGTTTTCACGTCCACGTGTGAGATGTGCCTCCCTTGAGCCTTGTTACAACATTGGCACATTCCCTGCCTGATGTGAACAATAAAAATAAAAAATAGAAATTTGCTAAACAGAGTTTCTGTGGATTTCGAACTTATTTATAAAAACAATAAAAATGTATTAATAAAAATAAATGTAACGTATTCCATTTAGTGTTCAAGAACAACTAAGTAACAGTAAAGATGGAAATTTGCTAGCTGAATTTCAAGAAAAATATTTGTATAGTAAGTAGATGAGATAGAAAAAAATGTATGTCATAATTCAAAAGTCAGTCAGAAGCCTGGGTAACATAGTGAGACTCTGTCTCCACAAAAATTAAAAATTAAAAAAATTAGCCAGGACTACAGACATGGGAGGTTGAGGCAGGAGGACCGCCTGAGTCCAGGAGTTTGGGGCCACAGTGAGCCATGATCACACCACTGCACTCCAGTCTGGGCAACCGAGTGAGACCCTGTCTAAAAAAAGAAAAAAACAAAAGTCAGGCAGAGGGGCAGTGTTTTCATTTGGAATTCTTCATTTTTTTGAGGTATTAAAGAAAAATGATTTCTTACCACACTGCTGACACAAATGTGGGCGTGTGTGTCACAAGAACCAATTCTCCAACCCTCTGTACACCAGCTGAGTGTCCTACAATTCATTTCCTTTTTTTTCTTCCCTTTTGAGATGGAGTCTCAATCTGTGGCCCAGGCTGGAGTGCAGTGGTACGATCTCAGTTCACTGCAACCTCTGCCTCCCAGGTTCAAGTGATTCCCCTGCCTCAGCCTCCCGAGTAGCTGGGATTACAGGCGCCCACCACCATGCCCACCATGCCCAGTTAATTTTGTGTTTTTAGTAGAGACAGGGTTTTTCTACGTTGGCCAGGCTGGTCTCAAACTCCTGACCTCAGGTGATCCTCCTGCCTTGGCCTCCCAAAGTGCTGGGATTACAGGCGTGAGCCACCGTGCCCAGCCCTGCAATTCATTTCTGACACTACCCAGAGTTAGTGCAGCCCCCACGGGTTATGGGTCCATTCCACAAGACTGCCCCACTTTGGATTCCAGTGCCAGATCTGGGCCTACTGTATGTGTGAGCAATCAGCTATAAATCTGTACATCAGAGCTGTCCACCATCCTCTCCTCACACTCCATAAGTTGTTAGAACTGCTCACAGAACTCAGGGAAACATTTTCCTTCATTGACTGGTTTATTATAAAGAATATGATAGAGGATACAAATGAACAGCCAGATGAAGAGGTACATAGAGCAAGGTCCCCAGCACAGGAGCTTCTGTCCCCATGAAGTTGAGATGTGCCAACCTCCCAGCACGTGGTCGTACTCACCAACCCAGAAGCTTTCTGAACCTGGTAGTTTAGGGATTTAGTGGAGGCGTCATCATGGAAGCATGACTGATTATTAACTCAGTCGCTAGTCCCTCCCTCTTCCCCAGAGGATGCTGGGTGGAGCTGAAAGTTCCAAGCTTCTAATCATGGCTTGATCTTTCTGGTGACCAGCTCCATTCAGGAGCCCACCAAGAGCTGCCTGGCTAGAACAAAATACATGCCCATTGCCTTTTGGACATCCCAATAATTTCCAAAGGATGTAGGACCTCTGTCTCAGGAACCAGAGTGTATTAGTCCATTCTCACATTGTTATAAAGAAATACCTAAGACTGGGTAATTTAGAAAGGAGGTTTAGTTGGCTCACAGTTCTGCAGGCTGTACAGGAAGTATAGTGGCTTCTGCTCTTGGGGAGGCCTCAGGAAGCTTCCAGTTATGGCGGAAGACAAAGGGGTAGTGAGACATCTCACATGCCTGGAGCGGGAGCAAGAGAGCAGGGAGATGCCACACACTTTTAAACAACCAGATCTTGAGAGGACTTACTATTGTGAGAACAGTACTAAGAGGATGGTACTAAACCATTCATGAGAAATCTGCCCCCATGATCCAGTCACCTCCCACCAGGCCCCACCCCAAACACTAGGGATTACAATTCCCCATGAGATTTGGGTGGGGACACATCCAAACCATATCACAGAGTTGAGGACCAAATATTAAAATAAAAGATGCTCCTAGTACTCCTATTGCTTGGGAAACTGCAAGAGTTTTAGGGGCTCTGTGTCAAGAACTGGAGACAGAGACCAAATATGTATTTATTATTATGTCATAGATTATTTTAAATTATGACAAATATTAAAATTAAGTATTAAGATAAAGTGAATATAGGTCATTGAACTGCTAAACCTCAAAGTATTAATCATTTTCAAAAGATTTTTTGAAGTAATGAAGACTGGTGATAGTTACTGATTGAATTATGTCTCACAAAAAGTTGAACTCCTTATCCTCAGTTCCTATTTGGAAATAGGGTCATTGCAGATATAATTAGTTAAATTAAGATGAAGTCATAAGGGTTTTTTTTTTTCTTTTTTGAGACAGAGTTTTGTTCCTGTTTCCCAGGGTGGAGTGCAATGGCGTGATCTCAGCTCACTGCACCCTCCGCCTCCCCGATTCAAGCAATACTCCTGCCTCAGCCTCTCAAGTAGCTGGAATTACAAGCAGCCACCAACACGCCCGGCTCATTTTTGTATTTTTGGCAGAGATGGTGTTTCACCACGTTGGCCAGGCTGGTCTTGAACTCCTGACCTCAGGTGATCCATTCCCCTCGGCCTCCCAAAGTGCTGGGACTACAGGTGTGAGGTACTGTGCCCAGCTGGTAGGCCCTTATATGACTGGTGTCCCTACAACAAGAGGAGAGAGCAGATACATATAGAGGAGAGGACCAGGTAAGGAGTCGTCGAAGACTACATTTATGTTGCCACTAGCCAGGGAACACCTGGGGCTATCCAGTGTTGGTGGAGGCAAGGAAGGATCCTCTCCTAGAACCTTCAGAGGGTCCATGGCCCTCCTAGCAGCTTGATTTTGGACTTCTAGTCTCCACAAGAGTGACAGAATAAACTCCTGTTGTTTTAAGTTACCCAGTTTGTGGTTCTTTGTACTTTGTGGTTCCAGCAAACTAACACCGTGATATTAAAAATGTTCTCTACTATTAAAAATAAAGTTTTAGGTGGGGGAGATATTTCCTTCACCAAATGCAGCGCATTTGTGTGTTTTTAACGTTCAGAGAATTCTACCTTTTGAGGTTCTTGAGATGACTTGCAAATTAACTAAAGTTTTAAAGTAAACTTTTTTTCCATTGTAAATATTTCTAAAAATACTACCCATTGGAAATTAGAAAAGTAGAGTACTTTTCTGAATCCAGTCCTACTTTTATTTTACATATATTTCACAGCTGTGATCTCTGGAGCAAAAGCCAACAGGAAAAAATAGTTTGTACCAGTATCATGAAGTATGTCTTTGGGCTTTCGTAAATAATTTTAACTCAAATAAAACTGCTTCTTGCAATACAAAAATAAAATTTTAAAAACTTAAATATTTTATTCATATTCATCTCATCCTCTAGCATTTCTTTTTCTGTACATTCCATAATATAAAGTAACAAGTGTGATCATTTGTAAACAAATGTGTATTAAACGTGTGTGCTCAAAATTTTTGTTTTAACTTAAGAATGGCATACAATAAAAAAATACTTGAGTATGTGCTGGAAATTGTGTTTGAAAAGGTGTTTGCAGAAATCATTTGAGGCCTAGGACGATGAGCTTCTTTCTTTGTTTCAGCCAGGTCTTAAGGCTATACTAATCCAGGATTCCCCTAATCCAATTTCAGAAATTGAACTTTTCTGGGTCAGCCCAATCAGTCAAAGCCAACCAGGCTTCAGGTTTATTTTCAGTCGCCCCTTTATTCCTGTGGTGAGGCTCTTTGGAGTCTGAGCCCTCTGTGCCTGGGATTCTCTCGAGCCCCAGTCCCACAACTCCAGCTGTGTCCTTGTCAACCCAGAGTTGTGGGAAGCACTGCTCAACCTCCTCTTAGGACCTTTGAATGCCCTCCCTGGGTAAAAGAACCTCAAAATACCTGGTTCTTGTTTTAGATTTTCTATTTCTATCTTCTCCCAATCTTGGCCCACTTATTTCTCATTGTCTCATTAGCTATTTGATTTTTTTTTTTTTTTTTTTGAGATGGAGTTTCACTCTTGTTGCCCAGGCTGGAGTGCAGTGGTGCGATCTCGCCTCACTGCAAACTCCGCCTCCTGGGTTCAAGCAATTCTCCAGCCTCAGCCTCCCGAGTAGCTGGGATTACAGGCACCTGCCACCACGCCTGGCTAATTTTTTGTATTTTCAGTAGAGATGGCATTTCTCCATGTTTGCTAGGCTGGTCTGAAACTCCGGGCCTCAGGTGATCCACCTGCGTCAGCCTCCCAAAATGCTGGGATTACAGGCATGAGCCACTACGCCCAGCCGATGTTTGTAAAAAGATTTTTGTTTTAATTCCGACTTTTTAGTTGGATTCAGCTCGAGGACTGGCCCAATTTATTTAGTCTATGATTACCAAAAGCATAATCAAAAACACTTAGAGACCACTGTCTTAGACTATGTCAGCAATCTCTTAATGAATCTGCGATCTTTTCTTACCCCTGATCTCTCCTCCACTTTGCTGCCAGATCAATATTTTTTAAAACAACGTTCCCATCAAGTCTTTTTGACTTGAGAGTCATCAGTGACTCTCACCGTGTAGTGACCATGTATTATAACAATTTGGTGAAACTGGAATTTCCCAGTATTTACTTTCCTTCATGTTTCTGGATCAGCGTTGGCCAGTAAAGACATGTTGGATGATATTTGAGAGGTTGAAATGAAGCAGCTGCCTTTTTTTTTAATGCTTTAGTGACTGGTGAAGGGCAGGCATATTGTCACTGCTCTGCAGCTAGCTCACCTCATAGGCATGGGAAAGCACCCCAAACCACAGTTCCCCTATGTACTGTGTTGAGCAGTGTTGGCCTGTCAAAATTCACATTGAGCAGTAATGTCAGAATGTGACCTTATTTGGTAATAGGGTCTTTGCAACTGCAATTAGTTATATTAAGATTAGGTCCTATTGGATTATGGTAGGCCCTAAATCCCATGACTAGTGTCCTTATAAGAAGGCCATGTGAAGACACAGCAACACAGACACGCAGGGAAGAATGCTGTGTGATGGTG